AATAAATAAGATTAGGGCATTTGCATATATTTGTTGCTTCCATGGCTGTATAAATAAATTTTCATTGACCAATGCGATAATTTAGAATTGTTGAATATCTTTATATATAACAAATATATAAATATGCAGATAAGTTTATCCCTTTCCATACATATTCAATGTAGTATCATATATGATTTTGAAATAATCTTAGATGTAAAACCAGAAATAAAAAGAATAACATGAATGTGACACAAGAATTACAATGTTGTCCATGATATATTGTAAGCAGGTATTAAAAACCTAGTGAATTGTAAAAGAATAAACAATACTTTTTTGGAAAAATGTATTACATACAACTTAATAATAATAATTTGCTCATATAAAATTATGTTTTAGTTCGACAAAATTTGATTCAAATAAGTGCTTTAATCATAGACATGTTTTAATCTTTTAATGTTCAGCTGGTTGTTAATAAAATAGAATTATAATCTACAATGATTTTATTAAGTTTATGTCCGTATCTACATCATGTTTTAAGCTAAATATAAAAACTGTTTTTTTTTTTACAACCAATATACAATAGTATTTATACAATAATAATAGGTTGGCCAATAAGTCCGTGCGGTTATTTATAAGTAACATTTATAAGTAAAAAACCGCACGGACTTATTGGCTAACAATATTTATATTACATTCGTACACATGAACAAATTATTATATGATCTGTCTAAAGTACAATACTTAAAATTCAAATTTTATGAAAATAATTTGACATTCGTTACAATGGAAAATCGAACATTGAGATCTTTTTTTCACGGAACAGAATATGAATGTTCATTAATATTGTATACATATTAGGTCGTACAGGTATCGTTAACATTTATTTTAAATGTGTTTCCGAATATATAATCATGTCTAATATTTATATATTATAATTATTTATGATACAATAAAACTTTTCTATTCTGTTCCCTTGTAAATTAGAATTCTTCTCTTATGCTACTTTCCCATTTCTCATATTTTGCTATCATTGTCACATTAGTGTAAAAAAATGAATGAAAGATAGAAATGTAATTATTTTCATTTTTTACACGTGCCATTAGAAAAAGAATAAGAAAGAAAATTCCAGAATAAAAGACTAGTTTGTGTGCGTGTACATATATATATGTTTTGATTGAGGCAATTTAAGAAATGTTTCAACTTAATGGGTCAACTTAAAAATAGTTAATAGTATTTTATATTTTAATACAGTGTAAAAATACTTATATGAAAATAATAATAGTTTGCATAAGTAACGAAAAAGTAATTTCTAAAAGGCATATCGTATAATATTATTTATCTAATATTTGTTCTTATATAGATAATAATTAATCTAAACACATGTATAAATTGTGTCTAATTTTTTTTATAAATCCACATTATTGAGATTGGCTGCAGATCCTGTTGGTAAATCTGGTGGTACAAACTTACCAATAGGTTGTATTGCTTCGCGTTGTTCAGCTAATCTTCGCATCTCTTGTCTAAGTTTACCTAAAATAGCATGATTTGGCTGATTAACGGCGGCTTTACCCTGCAAAAGGGTGATCTCTTGTTCCAATTGTTTCTTTTCCTTAAAAGACTTCACACTTCGCGACCCATAAAGACGCAACAAGGAACCCCACGACTGTATATGTGGATGTATTAACTGTAGTATTGCTTGTGCTGCTCGTTGTTTACCGTCTTTCTTATTACGACAAACCTGTAATTATTTAACTAAAATTAATTTCTTACCGTCTAAAATTAACAATTCTCTAAATGGGAAATAGCTTATACGTACAACAGTAGCTTCATGTTTTCCAACCTTCATTGTAAATTCGTTTCGTTGATGTTTCAACGTATTTACCGAATAATTAATCTGCATATCTCCTAAACCATAATTTCTTTGAATACAAGTTATTAAAATAGCATGTGGGGAAGGTTCTGTGGTTTTTGCACAAAATTCTGCCACACGCGGATCATTGATTGATATTTCGTCGAAGAACGAAAGATCAGCATCGGAATTTCCTCTAGATGCTTTTATCGTACGACTGTCATTATTCGATCCATTATCTCCGCCGTTCTCACCAGAAATTTTATCTTTCATTTGAGGAATCAAAATTTCAAGAGTTTTCCGGGCTGCATTAGCCTTTGCTTGTTTTTTACTACTGCCGAATCCGTTTCCATATTCCATATCATTAATACAAACTACCGCGGAATATGGCGTCGCTGCGTTTTCTATAATTAAATGCATTAAAATTCCATTTTAATAACCAATAAAGGTAAACTTGACGCAATTGCAAATTTGATACCAAATATACATCACGTTTTGTGTATTATCAAATAATATATTAAATAATACGATTACCTAATTCTTTAAATTTATACGTTGGCTGTTTCTTTAACGCGTGTTGTACATATTCATGAAGAATACAAACATAACTTTTGCCCGATGGATTCATTATCCAATGTTTTGCAGGTCTCTGTCCATTATCGTCCGCAATATTCCAACTGCCACTTCCACTAGAACTACTGACCGGGAAAGTTATCAGTTTTGTACCATCCGGTAAAGTTGGACGCTCAAGTTGTTTACGATGTTTTTTAATTTTCGTAAATTTCCGACGCGCTGACCAAGATCTATAACAGAAGAGTCGATTAACGTAAAATAAATTTCCCGACGACATAATCATTTTATTTTTCATACTTACTGAAATCTCATTACTTTAATAGATTTGAAACGGAACAAAGACTGACAATAACTTCTTAATTGCTCGCTATCTAACGAATGCGCCGCACGATTCTCTTGTATGGTTTCAATCTTTGCGCTGGGAAGACTGCAAGCTTCAGTGTTTGGTGCACGTTCCATTTTCTTCTTCCGTTCTTCTTCCTCTTCTGTTAATGCTCTTTTGTACTGAAGACAAGGAATGGCGCTTACAGGAACTTCGTGCTTTCTAACACTTCCTGGACCGAGAAAATATGGCTTTGCTAGTGTACAAACTCTACTCTGTTTATGAAGGTATAATGGCATTCCACTGTTGTGCGTCACTTGTACCCATCCTTCAGGTAAAACATCAAAATGATTATGCCCAATTTCTAAAAGAAGAACAATAAAAGTGAAATGAATAAAAGATAATTACACAGCTCTATATGATAGTTAATATATTAATGTACCATCTAAAACGAGTTTCTCCTTCTCCTCATAGGGCAAGCGATCCTTTTTATCTTTTCTCTTTCCTTTAAATTCTTCTGGTAAACCTAATGTACATAAAACTTAACTAAAATAAGCGAATTTAAAATCTTTGTGAATTATACTAAAAGATGAGAAATCAAATAACCAAATAACCTTACTTGGTTTCTTATTTGCTGCAGAAATTATTTAATCTAGTCTTAAGAATATATAGTTAATAAATGTAGTAAATTGTAGTTTTTATAAAAATCTTTTTAAATGTAAAAATGGTTAATAAGATTTGAAATTCTGCGTGACGATTCGTATGGATAATTAAAAGCAACATGCAGGTAAATATATTGTATCAATATGTGAAACGTTCAACAGACTTTTCGCAAGAATAAGCAAAAATTCTTTAGACTGCTTTCTCATCATAACAATTGTAGTTACCCTTGGCATCGAAATTTTTAAATTTGCGAAAACATTATAATATACCTTCTTCTAGCATCGCTTCAATTTCTTCATCTGGCACATCAGAGTCCATACTTTCATCTGTATCCGAATCGTCGTCATCAGAATCGTCATTCTGTTCTGGATGGCGATCTAGATCGTCGAGCACGTCAAATTGCCGTAAATCGTCATTGTGTTCCAGATCTTCCTGGCATAAGCCATTGTGCAAAATATCTTTATCGAGACATGCAGTTTCTTCGTCCGTATCATTACAATGGCTATCGTCAGTGCCAGTTGATTTGGTATCGTGTTCTAATTTAATTGACTTTGTAACACACAATGCTTCCCAATTTTGATTCTCGCGTTGCGTACTGGAGACCGCTCCGCAATCCAAGATGTTCCGATTTTGATTACTTGCACTATCTTCTGAGGCCATAACTTCCATAACTGCCTGTTCTACGTTAACTTCCATCGCGTTGCGTATCTGTTAAAATACTATAAAAATGCGAACAAGAAGCTCAGATGCTTTAGCCGACAAAATCAGTAAGGATTATATAAATAACAGCAGAATACTCCGATCCCGTGATCTTCTATTTACTCGTTCACTAGACAAAACTTATAGTATTGACCTCTTATCCTATATGCACATCTTATATGTACAATATAGTGATCATTGCATTTTGTGTGCAAATGCAAATTAACAGTAAATAACCAACAATAACAAACAATATCCAGTAAACTGAAATCCAAGGTCCATACAAAACAATCCGTGGATTAATATGTATTAAGCGCGTTGTATGGCCACACCACTTCCACCAATGGAGCCAAAGTCCAATCAATTTGAAACCACAAATGGCAATAAAAATTGGACATTTGCATTAGTGTTAGCAGTTTGGGGCCTATTACGTATCCATGAGAGTATACTGTACAAGCGAGCTGTTACTTTATCGGATTTTGTAGATGGCTGAGAGAATTCCATCGCATTATTTAAACTCCAGATCTAGACAGGAACAACATTGAGAGATTGAGGCTGTTACTAGCTGGAGTTCTGCGACGATGCTAGCTATACATTGACTGTATATACCTGATCTTCGGCCTGGCAGACAAACGCACGCTTGACAATTACGTTTACCAAATACGTGTCAATTCAAAACAGACTTTAAACAGACATGCAACGTACGTAGAGACTTCTGTGATGTAATAACTGTTAGACATAAGCCATATGGCGCGTGAAATAATACCTTTGTTAAGTCTCCTAACCACCTATTACTAACACGATACGAATGTTGATCGAGCTAACGCAACCGGCCTGTAAAATACAATAAATTTGGCCTGTAAAAATACTATACAAACGCAATCGTGTTACATTTAATTTCCTATTCGAAAAGGAGTGCCTACTCCCGTCAGAGAATACGACGCATTTAAACGTACGCTGCTTACCCACTACTAAATTTTATTCGCTTCCACGTTTTACATGGAATTACGATCTACGCGCGTTTGTACAAGTTGCTTTTTACGATTATTACCGTTTATACATTACGAAAAAAAATCGAAGAGATCATGCAAGGGGCACAATGAGGACAGACGGAAAAGAACTATTTTGAGGTTAGGTCGAGTAATCGGAGTAGTTTGTGAATTAAAGCAGAGCTGCCATTCCGAGAGGCGCGACGCGCGACATTCCCTGGATTTCTCCTGTCGTCACGTGTCACGTGTCACGTCACTGCCTTCGGCACGTTTGTATCCTAACCTTACTGGCGTGCACGATTTTCGTTCGTCTACGCTCGTCCACGAGCACCACGTGCAAAACTTGGGGAAGATCCGTATATTTTCACGTGCTACAAGATTTTGCAAATCGAGTTGAAACATGTCAGATCTATTTGACAGCGGCTCCTTTTCCGACAAGGACGGTAAAGGGATCGATCCTGAATTAGCGGAGCTTCTAATGGTCGAGAAGCAAAAGGCTCAATTCAACGCACAGGTGAAAGATTTTAACGCATAGATAAGCTTTTCACGTATTAAATCGCATTCACTGCTTTCCTAAATTGTTTTAACATTATTTCATGCATATTCTCGAGGAATGCTTGCGCATCTACGTGGAAAGAAATTTCCATTCGTCATGCGTAAAAGTTTCATAAATGTTTCTAAATTTGCTTAGATTCACGAGTTCAACGACTTTTGTTGGGATAAATGCGTCGATAAGCCAGGAAGTAAATTGGATGGCCGCACAGAAACATGTATAAACAATTGCGTCGATAGATTCATAGATGTTTCCCTTTTTGTTACGAATCGTTTCGCACAGTTAATACAAAACTCTGTAGGAAAGTAAGACTTTTGTAGAGTGTCCTGTTATGATAGTAACGATCGTAACATAGGATAAGATAGTAACATTAAGATAGTATCGATAGTAACATAGGATTTTTATAACCATAAATATTAAATGTAATGTTACTATCAATTTAATATTTGTGAATGCAAGATAAAATTATATATTGTAACAAAAAGGTAGATATTTCAGTATAATATACCCAATAAAATATTAATTTTCATCATAGAAAATTTTTGATTAAATTTACCTTTATTTAGAAATAAGTTTGTATTCATTGTTTTTATTCCACTGTTGCATGTATTGCACAAGTGAAACGAAATGTTACAAATGTTGCAGTAATGCAATACATTGTGAAAATTATTCTATACATATATGTGCATATATGATGTGAATATGTAACAGAGAATTTTACTTTGATTACATTTAGAAAATTAGATTATGTACATATACGATGTATTTAATATCAGAAAGCTATAGGCCTTTGTGGAAGGCACATGTTGTAAAATGCATCCTTTTTCCAAAAATCTTTTGTTTTCCATCCACACCATCCCTTACTTATTACGGTAGGCAAGTGTTCTGTACCTGTGTAATGTGGATCTAGAATTAAGAACTTTCCCTCTCCAGAATTTTCGTCGTAACTAACTCCTAGAATTGTATGAGCTAGCACTCCTCCACCTATTCAAAGAAAGAACAGAAAGCTATTACTTTAATATTTTAAATACATTTTTAATTTTAATCATTTCTAGAATACAAAAGTAAGAAGTACAATTAAAACTTACCAATCATGATAGGTGTGCCCTGTGTATCAAAATGATCTGCAATTTGTGGGATTAAGGCCAGCATCTCTTCTCCGCTTGATGCACGAAGTATCTTTACATCTATGTTGAGGAGAGTCTGCAGTACAAAACTCACTTCAGTTGAACCAATCCATTGTCTACTACCAAGGAAGGCAAAAGGTTTATCGCCTATATCGATTAGACACTGTTGTATTTTGCGATGAGATGGTATTGATACTTCACTATAACCCTGTAATCTATGGTATAACAGATTCCAATTTATACATATGTGTTGACAGCATATATTTCAACGTTACATACACAATATTCGATTACTCTCGATATTTTATTACCTGTACCATGAAATGATGGTTTGGAGAGATCTATAGGCACATCCCCATCCATTGTCATCAAAATTATCTTGCATATAATGATGATACGAATACAAACCGTCCACAATACTGAGTTTTCCTGCAACACCTAATTAAGGCAAAATATTAAAACAATTGCATAACGATTTCAAACGGTGACACATTTGAGAATATAAATATATACCTTTGTATAAAAGAGCTCGATGAGGATTTATAAGTATCTCATTTGCCTGTGTGTCAAATTTGACGGACGTTCCACGTCGAAAATACGGTCTAGTTAAATCTAACGCTAAAGCCTTGTGTAAAGCCTTGCGATATTCCACTGAAATTATATGACTGGTCTGTATAAAAGCAAATATATGACACATATATTACTGATAAAAAATGCGCAAGGATGATACAGGATATTGCGAACAAACCATAGCGATGGAATTTATTGCATGATCGACAATAAACAGATCAGTAATCAAGATATGAAATCTTACTTGTGTTATCGTTAGTAGAATTGTCAGGATATACTACTGTAAATAAATGTCCACAGCCTTGAGGTTTAAAATGCATGACTTCAGGTAATTTTGTAGGCAGTTTTATATTTTCAGACTGATTTTCTTGTTGTATTTCAATTAGTCTAATGTTCCGGCAAGTGGATTCCACCAGAATCGCGTGCACGTCGGCTGATTTTACATTCAAGTTTACCAGTGACAATGCATCGATGTGTAAATTGCATTCTAAACTGTCGAAGGATTCTGCAACATAACGAGCGTAATAGTGTGATAAATAAGAAACATGACGTTAATATTTATTGTATTTAATACGCACTTTTGATGTGTTGCAAGACGGGAGCATATCTGACAGATTCTTCGGAATTTCTATCGCTTGATATCTTTAATAACATATTTGCATGTATAATGTTCTAAAAATTAACAAAATATGTATAAACACTCTGAGATAATTCCTGTTTAAAGTAGTATGTACACACACAAGTTTAGCCTACAAATACATACCACAGGTCCAACTATATTACTTGTTCCAGTGGAAAGTTTCTCCTGGTCTTTAGACACAAGTAAAATATCTTTTAACATTGTATCTTTTAAATTGTCATCAGTTCTGAAGAGGTATGCATTGTTCAAAGGAAAATGTATCCCTATTTTTCCAGATGCGATCTACAGCAGTGCAAAATTGTGCGATATATATGCGGCATATACAATTATAAGATACAAAAATTGACACAAATGTTAATCAAGGAGGAATTCTCACATTTTTTCGCGACTCTTGTAAAGCTTCCGTTACGTTCCCATCCTGAGCAACCAACGGCAGAGTCGCTTGTAATCTAATATACACAAACTGTCGAGAAAGATCATCTTCGGTAATAATACTGAAATTATTTACAGCTTCCAGTTTTTGATGCACATAAAAGTACGCTTGTATGTCTGACGTAGTATGCAAATATTTTAAAAGCAACGGATTATCGGTAATATCGATGTCCTATACAAACAAACATATATGTTATTTTACCTTTAATTTTTCATGCAATGCATATATAATTTCACGATGTTGAGGTTAATATAAGAATGGATGGCATATATCAGATATATAAATAAAAAATATATCAAACATAAGTGATATCCTGTAGTTACCTTGAAAACGGCAGTATCTACTTCTTCACATTCGCCAGTATGTAATATGCCACAGAAATATATATCTGCAGGTAGATTCAACTGCATCGTCATTGAATCCGGTATGTTCTTATCCTCGTCGTTACGCGAACTTATACTGAATGTCAAAACTACGAGGGTATCATTGTACATAATACCATAAAGATAACCAGTTGTTGTGGCTTCCACGTTTTCTAGTCGCTAAAAGTATCATTTTATTTAAGTACATTGGCTTATGTAAATGGCTATTTTATTCATCAAATACACAGAAATGTAGCACTATATCGAATAAAATTTAGCTGAAAAAAGGAACACATTCGCAGAATACTATTCCTCGCAAGAAATGTGCCAAGCAATCGTGAAAACTTGAAGAATATATGCGTTCTCGAATCGTTATCGATGCAGATATGCCTATTGACGTTTACCTGCAGAATGTTCGACAAGATCTGCAATTGCGGTGCCATCGTGTCGCGTCGAAATCAGATGCAGAAGCAAGATCTTACGAGGATCAGACTGATCGGAGGTGCTTCGTGCTGTCAGCGAACGCAATCACCATATGGAGAGATAACAGGAAATCACAATTGACGTTTCAAACACGAGCCACCTGGACTGGGAGGTTAAGTCCAGTTAAATCCGTTCTCGTTGTCACAGGTCGAAAAAAACCGCATAGCAACCGCCTAAATCGAAATTTCACTTGTCGAGGATGAGGGAACGCCGCTCTTTTACGTTCGAATTTGCATTCTTGTCAATTCACCTGCGAAAATTCTGCTCGTCTCGCAACAAACGACGCATTCAAGCGCCTAATGACTGCTAAGTGCTAATGACCTAAAATCAAAATCCGATACGGATTTTATGTGCGACCAGAGAGAAACCTGAGAGGCGTCGCCTGAGAAAGTGCAACTCAACTACGTCGAATCGCTCGGTAACCGCACATGGTTTGCGTCCGTGCTAATGGTTCGTGTCCAAACTAGCCAGCTGGAGGGGATCATATTATTAAACGATATTGCAAATATTGCAGATATCAAACTACAAATCTACATATCAACTTGTATCTATATGTTTAACTCATATCAGGATCATAAAGGGAAAACTGACTGCTGTGTGAGGCAAGCGTATGGCATTTATTGTTAAAATGAGACAAATGCATAAACGCGAAAGTAAAAACGAGACGTGTAGTGACGCCGCGGCGCTTTTGAAGTTGCCGCGCGGCGCGCGGAAAACGCGGGAAGCGCCTCCGCCATATTGATGACGTATAACCGCTTCTCCTTCCATGTCCATTTCCAGAAGGCGGCTGACACGGAACGGATCGGCTCCGGAACGAGCGACGTCGCGACTCATTTAATTGGTAAGTATAACACATATTAATCTTGCATGCATTATATTCACTGCGGTATCTATCGCGTAACATAGATTTAGCGCTCGGGTATTGATATTTCTTAAAAATACGTATTCCGCGATACTTGTCCGGCCGAAGGCGCGTCGCACGAGCAATCGCGAAAGTGACGATCGTATTTTCGAGTGTCGTGCCGCGAATATCGCGGATATTTGCCAATAATATTAATACGCTATTCGCTAGAATGCAAAAGAACAATTGCTGTAATAAGCGAGTTAGTAAATATTTGATTTCTCAAAGTTCGGAAAAATCATGATCGCGAACTTAAGTTGGCTACGGAACGCGTAGCGACGCCGCGGCGCTTTTGACGCGTGAAGTTGCCGCGCGGAAACGAAGCGCCTCCGCCATATTGATGACGTACTCCCTTCCCTTTCATTTCCAGAGAGTGACGGGCACGGAACGGATCGGCTCCGGAACGAGTGGCGTCGCGAATCATTTAATTGGTAAGTTTGACACATATTGATCTTGCATGTATTATTCACTGTGGTATCTATCGCGTAGTATAGATTCGACGCGACGCTCGGGTATTATAATGATTCTTGAAAATACGTATTCTCTCCGCGATACACACACACACTTGTTCGGCAGAAGACGCGTTGCGAGGGTAATCGCGAAAGCGATTATATTTTCGAATGTCGCGAATATCGAGGACGCGCCGCGACGCCGCGCGCCGCGACGCTTTCGGTACAAGAAATTGCCGAACAGGAGACGATGAAGCGCCTTCGTCATATTAATTACGTTCTCTTTTTATTTTCAGAACGCGACGAATACGAGACGGATCGGCTCCGAAATGAGTGGCATCGCAACTTATTTAATTGGTAAGTTTAACATGTGTATATATTATAATAAGTGATCTGAAAACGACACTGCGCAAATAAATATTTATTTCCATCAGTAACAATTATTAATAAAAGATTATAGATTATTAAATGCTTATCTCGCGATTTGATACATTCGGTCTTCGCTTCCTTAATTTTGGCTCTTCTTTTTTTCCGTATTGTTATTTCTTCGTGGCACTCACATCTGTTTTCTAAAACAAACAAAATATTTATTAAAGGCGATTACAAATAATCATTAGAATACAATGACTGAAAGTATCATACAAGATATGGCAAACCTACGCGAAAAAGCAATATTGCTTGCTTGCTTACACACCACTTTATAAAGTATTTAATTTAGGACGAATATATAAGGAAGAGGTTAAAAGAAACACATGCTTAAAATAAAAATAAAAAAATTACTTTTACACACAAGTTTTATTCGTAATTTCAATACATTTTTAATCAAAGAATAACATCTTAATGATATAATGCATTTTTTAGATATCAACTTGTATAAAATTTGATAAGAAAAAATCGAATCCTGATATAATATATACTATTATAAATTTTAATTATTTAGAAATATTTGATATATTAACAAGTAATATTTTATATATATTTGTTAATATTAGTCATGTCATAAATAATTTATTAAGTGTATTTAATAAATCCTAAAATATAATCTAAAATATTTTATTTATTAGATAATGTACTAAATATGTAATATACTGCATATATAGTGTATTGCACGTTTAATTGTTTAATAAATAAAATATTTTAGATTATATTTTACAATTTTTGAAATATTTTAATAAATTATTCATGACATGATTAATATCAACCAATATATATAAAATATTACTTATTAATAGATATTTCTATTTCTAAATAATTTTTAAATAATTAAAGTTTATAATAGTTTAGATTATATCAGAATTAGATTTTTTTTCTTATCAAATTTTATACAAGTTAATATTTAAAAAAAGTATTGTTATTAAGATGTTATTGTTTTATTAAAAATTTATTGAAATTACAAATAAAACTTGCGTGCAAAAGTTATTTCTTTATTTTTATTTTAAGCATGTTTCTTTTAATCTCTTTCCTCTATTCGTCCGAAATTAAATATTTTTTTAAATTAGTGCAAGCAAGCAACATACTATATAGGTATCTATAAATATTTTTTGTATATGTGTATATAAAATATATTAAGCATTATCTTTTTCTTATAACAAGAAATCCATATTTATTTTAGACATTATTTTTATTTAAATATTTTTGTATGTTACAGATCAATTTTGTGTATAACTTCTGCTGTGTAAAGAAAAGGGTTCAGATGAAAGAACCCGGGAGGAGATTGAGGAGGCCTAGGAAAGGTATCGGGCACTGTTGGAGTAACATTGCGGTAAGCATTATTGCTTATTTGTACTAAAATTAGTTGTTTTGTTTTGATGATTTAAAAATAATAATTAGAAAAAAAAATTAATCTGAAATTTTATAAAAATTTATTCTTGTGCAAATTCTTTTCGAAAAATGTAATTATTTTAATAGATATTTAATTATTTTAATAGATATTTAATGAAAAACCATTAAGAAATTTTATGTATGTAAGAATTAACTTTTGAATTATTAATTATATTTTGAGCGTTTTAATTTAAATTTTATGTTTGTATATTACAGAATTATTGTGGCGCTGATTGTACGTGGCTGACAACTCCACTGTCGATTGGTGAGTGACAAAAAGGATTATTAATGAGATAACGGATCTATGAAAATTGTATGAGATATACATATTTCTGCATCATTATAATTGTATTAAAAATAAATATAGAATCTCATAGATCCGTTATCTTAAAATGGATATAACGAATTATAACAAATATTTCATCTCGGACTCGTTTTGCGTTATTCAATTTGGTGTGCATTAATGTGCTTGAGGCTACACTCGCACAGGTACACAGAGAAAAAATACAATGAATAGAAATTAAAGGATCATTATTTTATTTGTCCGAATTCTATTGTTTAGGAAAATAAAACTTTATATTCTTTTAAGTTAAAACATTCAATATATATATTATTTTTAATATATTTAAAATAAGTATAGTTCAATAAACTTTATAACGTTAAAACTTTAAAATAAGTCTTTATTTTAATCCTATTAATAATAATATTAATAAAATTAAAATAAGGACCCGTTTTAAAGTGTAAAAGTTTTAACGTTTTAAAGTTATTATGAAGCTATTTGAACTTATTTTAATATATTAATAATAATATATATTAGATATATATTGAATGTTTTAACTTAAAAGAATGTAAAGTTTTTTTTTTCTACACAATAGAATTTAGACAACAAAAATAAAATACTTATATCTAGATCTAGAGTTGTATCTTAATAAAGATAAATAGTTCCATAGATATTAGAAAAAATTATGGAAACATTTTTTTGTGTGTAAATGTACATATATATATGTGTTTATTTTTTTTTTGCAGTCTCTGAATATCTTCTTTAGTTTACCTATATTTTTCAATTCTTCATACTGTGAGACCATATCCAAGACTTTCTTCTCAGCTGCAAAAGACAAATAAGATAAAATAAAACAATATAATATCAATCAGTATTATGTTAACAATAAGCTAAACTTACATCTTTTCTTGAAGATAGGCTTCTCTCCTCGTTTAACAGATTCTAGTAGCTCTTCCTTTTTTTGCCGCTTCTTTTCTGCTTTCTCTTTCTTTTTTTTTCTTCCTTAACTGATTTTCAAGCCTCTGAATGAGATATTTTATTTTCTTTATAACTTTTAGATCTGTCGTTTCTTTCAATTTTTTTGTAAAGTTTTGAGGTCGTTTTCTCGTAACTTGTTAATAAATGCATAAGAATGTCTAAAGGCCTTCTCATCAAACATATCACATAAACTATCAAATCTAGGGTCCCGAGATACAAATTTTTTTACTCGAGTTAACTTTTTATATCTCGGAACTGGCTTTTTAGCAGAAATCTCTCGTGGCTTATTCTTATTTTTTCGTTTAAACTCTATTTTCTCAGTTTTTTCTTACTTTTCTTTCCAAATATTGTCTCATTGTATACCTTGGTACCTAATTTCTTTTTTAATTTCTGTAAATCCTCAAAACTCATATGTTTTAATTCCTCTCGTACTTGTTCCTAAAACACAAACAATTCGGAGCATGTTACCACCCACAAATATATAAACTTTTCTTGTAATAATAGTGCTGTGTTAATTAAAATTAACCTAAATAAAAGCATTTAATAATATGTAGTAAAAATAAGTAGTAAAAATGAAGAAAAACTTACACGATCTTTATCTTCTGTAAGTAGGGACCCTTTTTCATCATTCATGTTGAGTCCTAAGATGTAATTGGAATACAAATTTATCAATCTCTATAACAAAATGGTAAATGTTTAGTATAACGCTCACCCCTCCGATTTTCTTGAAATTTTGTCAAAATGTTTATTTTTGTGTGTAAAATATATTCTGAGAAGGAAAATCGTTGCTCTCATGTCTCGTTTTTTTTTATTTAATTTCAAAATTTTATGTCGGTAAGTAGCAAAATGAAAACTTACGTTTTTAAAATACT